TATAAACCGCTGTGCCGTGCTGCTCATATTTATCACGCAGTAAAATGCCCCTCCCCGCACCCAAAACGGGTTGCCTGCAGTAGAGACCTGCACTCCCGCGGGAGTACCGCAGGACCCAACGCAACAGGGTGCGGCGCGGGACAACTCTTGATGTGCGGGGGCGGCCAGTGTGTGCGGGATGCGGGAGAATAAAATGATTTGCGGGACTCCCGCAAAATAGAAATGATATAAACTTAAAGTGTCTAAAACATATAAATTGTTATTTATCTGTTGCACTAAAGCAAAAAGAACAACTAATATGAACACTAAAATGATTAACGCGCAAGCTAGACATAGCCTAGTTTCCATTTATAATGTAGCCAATCACAGACTCAGCTGTTGATTTCTGGAACGCAATGGCCAATCAGAGGTGATCAAGTTAGAAACTACTCACCAAAGCGCTGAAATTGCGTGCTCACGAATCCTCTCATTTTAGACACTCTGAAAGATTCATTGTGCATATATTTAGTGTTATAACAGAGCTTTATGAGATCGCGATTAACTGAGATGTCAGCTTTTTGTGATAATAAAGGAAGTGTGCTGCTCGCATTCTGCCATGCCAAACCATGCACGCAGCAGCCCATGCTTGCTTTCCGTAAAAAATAACAGTGGTTGTGAATGTTGATGCTTAGTCTAAATAACAAATATTTTATCGGTAGTAGTTTATGTTTATGCTGGGAAGTTACAGAACCATTTCATGTAAATTTCTTCAATGTATTTAAAACAATCTATATAGATTACTTTTATGCGGGCGGGAGCTGGACTGAAAAATCTGTCCTGCGCAGGTCTTTAGCCTGCAGTGTTGGGCAGTAACGCATTACTTAGTAACGTGTTACTGTAATTTAATTACTTTTTTAGTAACGGAGTAATTTAACGTGTTATAATTTTCAAAATAGTAATTAGAGTATAGTTATAAGCCGAGGTCTCTATACGTTACTGCCGCGTTACATTGCTGACAGAATGCAGTGTTTTATAATCTGGAGATTGTTAAAAGGATGTAGCACACGCATTGTCGAGTCAAGTGCCAGTGAATTAAAGACTCTCCCCTTGTCCAAAAACCCACACTTGCGGTCTTGGCCACTTGAGAGCGCATGCGCGCGACAGGAAGTTAGTGCGCAAGACTGTCCCAGGTCTTAAAAACAGCAAAGCGCAGTGCCCTTAACGCACACTAAATCCACACTATCTCAAAT